AGAATGTGTGCTGTTTTAGGTTAACGACTCAAGAAAAGCTAGAAAATCCATTTCAGACAGATTTAAAGCGTGGCTAGTCTAGGGCACCCCAATAGTTTGAAAACTCACTCCAGTGTTCAGAATGGGAAGAGAGGGGCAGGCTGCCAGTTCTATAATAAAAGCAACAGTAATCGACCTCAAAAAGCATAGCAAATATCACAGATAAATGTGACTACACAGCAAGATATCTTTAATTTTAATGAAACTGGCTTTTTTTTTTTTTTTACAGTACTGGGACAATTCAAGAATCTTTACACTGAGCTACATTTTTATTTTTATGTATATTTATTAAACATTTTACAAACATTTTATTATATGATTATAATTATGTTATACATTTATACACATGACATACATTTTACTGTATACTTTTTTTTGGTACTGGGAATCGAACTCATAACCTCACACTTGTCCGGCAGGTGCTTATACCGCTGGGCCAAATTCCCAGCCCCACATGACATACGTTTTACTGTATGCTTTTTTATTTTTGAGATGGGGTCTTGCTAAGTCACTAAGTTGCCTGAGCTGGGCTCCAACCTGCAGTCCTCTTTCCAGCGTGCTGAGCTCACAGGTGGGTGCCACCTTGCCCGCTGAGACCAGACATTAAGAAAGTCTAAAATCAGACAGGCACTTACAGATGAAGAGAAGAAAGCTAGATTTTAAGACTGCAAAACAAAACCGAGGCTTTTGCATTACAAGAGCCTAGCAGATTGCACGTTGAAATCTGGGCCATAGGCTGGGTATAGTGGTGCAACACCTGGGAGGCTGAGCAGCAGGGTCATTGCCAGTGTGAGGCCAGCCTGATCTACACAGACCAGCCTAAATTACAGGGTGAGACCTTATCTCAAAAGCAAATGCAAATAAACAAACAAAATCCAGAACAACAAAAACTAACAAAAAAAGAAGTCTTGGCCTATTTCACTGAGAAAGGCTGTGCATATTCACAGCTCACACAAAACGCTGGCTGTACAAACCACATGCGAGTTACAAAAGTCAGGATTGTTTCTAGTATAATCCTTCTGACAAGTTTAAATTTCTCTAGAATCTCTTAAGAGTAAGTATATTGGTATTAAGAAAAATATGTCAAGTAATTGGAGCTCACTGGTCCTGTTCAGATTCTGGTATTCCCTACACGGTAGCCCATATTCTGATTAACATCATGTGGGACAAAACCCATGGTCAAGCCCGCTGGGGCCATACTGGACCCTCGCTCAGTGGTCCTTACATAGCGCCTGTGAGCCGTACTGAAGCCCAGGCTGCCTGGTCACAGTCACTGCTGGGGCTCAGTCACTGTGGATAAAGCCAAATGTGTTACCCAGCAACACGCTGGAGCAGGAGCTCACCAGCTGCCCCCTGTTACCCAACTCTGACTCTGCAGACAGCACACTAAAATCCACTTTGCTGGGGGGCTTCTATACCAAGAACAGCACTGGTCAGGACTTTTCTCCCCTCCTTTTTTTCCGCAGAAAGTTGAATCTTTTTCCAGAGAGTTGTCATGGCCTTATTGATTATATCCCTAATCTTCCTAGTTAATGCTCCAACCCAGTAAAACCACTCCGAAGATGTGGCATGGCCCGGTACTGCCCTCCTAAGCTCTGTCCATTGCATGGTTAACAAGGTCCATTGCCCTCCCACCTCCTCTAGTGGGTGGACATCACATTCACGGCCATGAACTCAGAGCCCAACCTCAATAACTCAGAACCCGCCACTAGATTCCACCTCATCTCCATCCCTTACAATCTCCCCAGTTGGGTCCCCTCCACCTCTTTACCGTGGTCCTGGGGACCTGGCATCCATCCTCTCCACTGTTTCAGGGCAGCAGAAGGACATGCCACTGTCTTTCCCAAAATCTTCAGTGACAGGCCCCAACTCTGCTATGGGGGCAAAGTTCTCGGTTCGGTGGAGAAAGCCCCTTGGCTTCTAACTCAGGTCCAACCTGTGCTTCTGACTCATCTTGAAGAGGCAGCAGAAGTGTCACCCAACCCTCACACCACTCTTTGTACATCTCCAGCTTGCGCTTAGCACACCAAGGTTTTAGATGAATTTGACCTGTGTTCTGCTCTGGGCTCTCGGCATCCTGAAGGTCTCTGATTTTTTTGTATTCTTACTACTTAGTTCAGAGACCACCTTGACAGTGCGCCCCAGTTTGCAAAAAAAAATTAGAGGAATTGGCCAAAAAAGGTTGCTGCAACTGGGATCTCATCTTATTAAAGAGCTTTTGCACAGCAAGAGAAACCACCAACAGAATAAAAAGACAACCCACAAGGAGGGAGAAAATGTTTGCCAGCTATTACTCAGACAAAGGATTATTATCAAGAACATAGAAAGAACTCAAAAAATCCAACCTCCCAAATTAAAGACCCAGTCCAAAAATGAGCATATGAAATGAATACACACTTCTCAGATGAAGAAATACAAACAGCAAATAGATAAGCGCAAAAATGTTTAGCATCACTGGTCATTTGAGAGATACAAATTAAAGTAACACTGAGATTCTATCTCATCCAGAAAGAACAGCTATTACCAAGAAATCAACGAATAACAAATGCTAGAAGGTCTGTGGGGGAAAAGGAACCCTTCTTCACTGTTAGTGGGAGTGCAGACTGGTGCAGTCTGTGGAAATCAATGTGAAAATTCCTCATAAAACTAGGATTGGAGGTCATATTTGACCTGACTATTACCCCTCTGGGTATCTTCCCAGAAGAATTAAAAACAGCGAAGTAGGGGCCAGGGACATCACTCAGCAGCATGAGTGTCTACCTGGCAAGCACAAGGTCCTGATACAAAAAAAAGTGCATCCATGTTTGTTTATAGCAGCACAATTTGTAATAGCCTGATCTTGGAAATAACCTAAATGCCCATCGAATGAAGAATGGATAAAAAAGATGTGGTCTTTTTATACAATGGAATACTACTCAGCCACAAAGTAGGATAATCTTGAGACTTTTATAGGTAAATGGATGCAACTAGAGACCATACTCATAAGTGAAAATAAACCAGATGCACATGTATAAATACCATGTCTTCCTAGTGTGAGAAGCTGAAAGAAATAATATAGTTAAGATAGTTATGCTACTAATTTCTCTTAGTTCATTGAAAAGAAAGGTTTGTGCTAATATTGCTTGGACAATTAAATGCAGATATCTTGTACTCTGAGTAACAATTTAAAGATAACCATACACAGTGTATTAACAATTGTTACCCTCTACTTACCGTGTTCTGAAATTTTATTTCTTTCTCTTTTAAACAAAATAAAATTTTAAAAAGTAAAAGGTTGTTGGAAAGCCTAAACTAGGTATGCATACGAAGTAGCTGTGGCAGAACTCACAACCCAGAATCCTGGTCCAGTTAGCCTGGAAGCGCCCCAACTGAAGAGGACCTACGCCTGTATCATAATTTTATACCTTTTTTTATACCAGGATCCGAACTCGGGTCTCACACTTGCCAAGCAGGCACTGCACCCACTACACTACATCCCCAGCCCAATTACGTACACTGAACACTCTGTAATTTACAGTTTCTGCATCATTTAAATGCAAGAGGGGGAGATCCATCAAAATGTGTTTCAATTTTTCTTAACGTAAAAGGGCTTTGTTCCCTGACTCCTTTTCCCTGGGCCAGCAATTATTTACCTGGGAGAAGGTACCCAGGCATAATGGGATCAGTTCGGCTCATCTTTTTACAAAAGACTTAATAATCTTCTACTCACAAGTTTCAAACGTCTTTTCCTTTCCAAAGCACAGTTTCCCTGCCTGCCCACTCGTTCTCTCCTGAGCGGTCCTGTTAAATAAACACTGTGGCTAAAGGTAGTGCTGGGTTGGGTGCGCTCGGTCTGAACCCACCCACCAGGCCTCTTCTTGCCCAAACTCTTGGAATCTGGTACAGTGAAGGTGATGCCCCAGGACTCCTGCCACCCCATCAGAGGCCTCCATGGTTCCTGGGCCGCAAGGCCAAAGATTTGGGGGCTCTCACTTCCGACCATTCAAGAGCCATGAACACTGACACTCTACAAATCTAGTAGGAATGAAGCAGAGATAAATTTAGTCTGCTTCCACTTGATAAAGGTCAAATGGAAGAGTAGGAATGATCAGGCCTCCTTAAGGGGATCAAAAGAGCCCTTCACACTGCAGCAGAGAAACAAACCACCCTGAAGGGAAGGAAGCCAAGTAAAGCACCTTGCAGACTACACAGAGGTGGACAGCAAACAGTAAGATGCTCCATTCTGCCTGTTAAGGAGACGCCAGCCCCAGAGACTGGGTCTTTTCTACCCATTTTCCTCTTAACTACAGAGCACTGATTTTATTTAGGATGCCTCCTAAAGACAAATCTCCCAGCCTTCTCCACAGACAGGAACAGTCCTACTGCTAAATTCTGGCCCATGAGCTGGAAGTAGTCTTTGGATTCCGGGGTAAGTTCCTGAAAGGAGCAGTCATTGCCATTTTAACTCTGTTCTTTCCAGAGCCTGAACCTGGGGTGCAGTGGTCACCCTTCCAGGAGTGAGCTTGTCGTTTTGAGAATGAAAACCTCACACTACCAAGGACAGAGACAGATTCTCAGTCCCTGGTAAGGTCAGGAGGAAGCTGTCATAAACCACCCACCTCTCGCCTTTCAGCACTAGAGAATTGGTCCTCCTAAGGTAAACGGACAACTTTCAGTGCCCACAATCGCTAACCAACATGCTGGGTGCGTGGGCAGAAGCCACCAAAGATGCTGGGGGAGCGTGACGATATCCAGAGAGGCAGAATTTGGTGCCCGTCCTCCACACCACCTGGCCAGGTTCCCAAGAAGGGCCCCACACAGGTCAGTGGAGGGCAAGCACCTGTGAGCCACAGCCGGAGGACTAGAAGCACAGCTGCTCAGAACGAGCAGAGAGAAGGGGCCCGGGAGGCAGTGACCCTGGAGGAGGCCTGCAGGGCTCCTCAGCTCCTCTACTCTGTGGGACGGGCAGGGGCCCCAGGTACCTCTTCCAGGTTGCAGAACTCCCGCCGCAGGGCAGCCTTCAGATCGGTACATTCCCTGCCGCTTCTCAGCGCCAGCAGACACTCCTTGGTCAAGTGTGGGACCTGATCACAGGACACAGGCTCTCAGTGGACACAGTGGCAGGGACTCTGTGTTCCTGCCTGGCCTAAGACTGCAGGGAAGCTTCCTCACTCCAACAGGGCAGGCCAGCAACAACGCAGATGGCCCCACTCTGTGTGAAGGGCACTAGGAGACCCCGGTGGGTCCAGGAACCCACTCCTCACAGCACCCTGGTAACCAGGCAGGTTAACAGGTTCTCCAGGACTGCTGCTCCCGTGCTGTGCATTGTGAATCCTCAGTGTTTGCATCTGGAAAATGGGGACACCACCAGTCCCCACCTCCAAGAGCAGATGTAGGATGAAACAAGTTAGCCTCTGTAAAGTGGAGTGGTATTTGGCAATTCTTAGCCCTTAATATATGTTTGCTACTAATATCATGGAGTTATTTTTCTTTTCTTTTGAACTACAGATTTTTCCATCCCTTTTTCTTTCATCATCCACAGTTGCCACCTCTTCTGTCTTGCACAAGTGCTGGCACTCTTGTCCCACTTCAAAGGCAACCCCTCCCGGTATTTTTTGATCTGAAGTCTGGGAAATATTCCTTTTAAGGATCATCAGTTTTCAGCCGCACCAAAGCCTTAGCAAAGCTTGGGAGCCGAAGCATGGGAAAGACACATAAAGTAACATGGGATAGAAGTGGGTCTTTAAGTGGAAGATACCTTACAAAACAGCTCCAGCAGCATCTTCTGGCGCGCCCGTTCATATGTGTCATGTGGAAACAGCTTCCTGCCCGGGTACGTGTCATCCAGGTACTCACAAGTGATGACCGACTCGTAGATCAGTTGACACTGGCTGTTCTCCAGGACAGGAATTTGGCCGAAAGGGTGTTTTGTATAGTACCAGTCAGGCTTGCTTCGCAGGTTAATATTGATAACTTCATGTCTTACAAAGCAAAGGGGAAGGCAGAAGGGACAAAACTGAGAAGTGTTTGCAGGCGGGGCACATTTTGAAAGCAGAAAATGGAATTAAAAGCTTGTCTTTACAATTTTTTTTTGAGTTTAAGTTTTGTGTTAAATACAGAGCACCATCATCCTCCCCACTGTGGTAAGAGGTGTGAGAAGTTTTCTAGGCCTTAGCTCCTGAAGGCTTCATAATTCCTCCTAAGGTCAGTTCGCCTCACAGGAAATAGATTCAAGGAGGTAGAACCTCAGACCCAACTCCTGCCATCAAACTGGACAGCCTCGCTTGAGATCTGGGCCAGATTCCACCACCCTCCTGTGCTTAGTGCCCTAAACTATAAAAGAAGGGCAAAATCGTACCCATCTTTTGGCATCTTATGATGATCCAATAAGCACCTATGTGTTATGGTTTGTGTCTGGGTGTCCCCCCAAAGCCTCCTGTGGTCAGTTTTTGTCAGACGTGGCTGAACACAGAGTGTAAGATTGGTTTGTAGCGCAATGCAGTGATATAGGGGGTGATTTCTGGCTCAGTCCACTCATTGGATCGGTACCACCCTAATCCCAGTAGACTGGATATGAGGGATGGGAAGAGGGTTGTCTCTCTCTTATTGCTTTTGCTGTCTTCTGCTGCCATGAACTGTTGCCCCTCTGCCATGTGCCACCTGCCTCAGAGCCAGCTGATTATGGACTGAAACTCTAAACCTGTGAGCTAACTAAACCTTTCCTCCTTTAAATCTCAGTGTCAGGTATTTTGTCTCAGTAACAAGAAAAGTAACTAAGACACTAAGTATAAAGTATAAAGCTCTGTCCCTAAGCTGCCAGTTTGTTCCCAACTGGGCAAAAACCATTGTTTTTCTCAAAACACAGTTATTCTTAGAGTCAAGTAGATTTGAACATAAGGGAAGAATCTAGAAATACATGTCATATACACATAGCAAGGTGGAATTACACAGTTCTGTTTTAAACATGTCCATACAGATGTCTGGATTCTCTGCCATGAGTCGGTGACTCTTTAGTCTCCCGTAACCTGCCATGGGTCAGAGCCTGGTGACACATTCTGTACACTCCAGCCTGAGTGGAGGCCAGGCACAGCTTCCAGCCAAGCCACTCTGTTTTCTTAATCCAGACCTCCAGGAGCTGGTCTCCCAGAATTCCTTCTGGGAGGCCACTCACCCATCTCTCAGGTATGTGAGAACCCTCTAGAACCTTCCAACAGCAGTTCCTTCTAGCTCTGTATGGGAAGGATTTGTTTTTCCCTCTGACAAACATTTCTGAGTCCTTAGTATGCACCAAGCTCTCTTCTACTCCATGAATGGAAGAGATAAATCCCTACCCTGAAGAACTCACATCTTTCATGATGGTAGGACAGTGTGTGGAGTAGTGAGAGAAGTTGGGGGCAAGAATGGAGGAAAGACAGGTGACCAAATAGGAAAATGTCAGCTGAAGGTGAAGAAATAGAACACAGGTGACCTAAGAAGCTTGGGATGGGGTGGGAGCTGCATTTGAAGGTGCTGTCAGGGGGGCCTCTGTGGCTTTGGCTGTGTCCTTCCTAAACAGACCTTTAGAGGAGACGTCCAGTTCCCCCATGCAGTCAATCTGCTTACTCTGCATTACCTAAGTGTTGTATGCAAACACCACTCAGGTAGCCTGCATTTCAAAAAGGCTTACAAAAAAAATCTCTTACTTGCCAATCACTTTGCCTTGGAAGAAAAAGACAAGGAGCCCCTTCTAAAATCAGAAGGTGCTGTAGATTTTAAATATTCCCCTAGCCTGCAGGGTGTGGCTTGCTCAGGGAACACCTAGCTCCAGCTCCTCACCTGATGCCTTTGGCCTTGAGGACCAGACGCGTCCTGTGTGAGTAGGGGCAGAACCTCATGCTGTAGATACGGATGAGTCCCTCGGGAACCGGCCCTGGGGGACAGCTTCCTGCAAAGGGTGGGGCAGGGGGAGACAGAGGGGCTCACTCAGCGTCCTGCATCCCAGCAGGGCTCTGTGCTCTGCCTCCCCTGTCCCAGAGAAGACACCATGGATGCATGGGCCAGGGCATGGCAGTCCCTGTCCAGAGCCAGCGTCCTTGGCCTTCAGTGTCCCCAGCCCTCCAGCACTGCTGGAGAGGACTCACCTTTCCTCAAGGTCCTGGTTGCATCCCCTGACATGATTTTGAGTGTCAGCTGGAGCCTGCGCTCACAGTGCCCCCTGCAGTAGCTCCAAGGAACCGTTCCTGCCCTGAATTCAGTTTTTGGACATCTGGACACTGAAGGTGCAGAGGGGAAGTGATCTGGGATAGAAGCCAGAATAACATAACACAGAAGATACTGCTCCACCTCCGGAAGCCCAAGAATTAAAGCGGGCAAAATCATACCAAATCAAATCCAGGTAAGTACCTCTTGCTTTGGATATTTGGGTAGAACAGCTAGTGAAGCCTCCTCTACATCAAGAATCCACAAACAATGAGCATTAAACCCCAACATGCGTTTCACAGTTTAATATAAATTGACCAGAATAATGCTTCTTCTTCCCTTCCTAAATCTCCCTTTTACACCTCATAAACAGCTGGCTACGTCTTCTGAACAGTAAGTGTGTGTGTGTGTGTGTGTGTGTGTGTGCACGCGCGCGCACGAGTGTGCATGTGTGCTTGTGAGTAAGGCCTGTTTTCACGTGTCATAGGAAGAAAAGGTTGAATATCAAGACCTCACACCCCCCAAAGAGTAACTGCCAGTGTCTATTCTATTTCCAAAACATCTCACTTACCTCACTCTACTTCTGGCCTTACATGTGAGATTCTTCTACCCACGTTCTGAAAAACAAGTAGTGAAGAAGAACAAGATGCCTGGAGTAAGGAACGCTTTATAAGTTCTCCCCACCTGAGACCACATTCCCGAGAATGTCTAGCTGCTAAGGATGCATTCCCATCAGCCCAGCACAATGACACAGCTCCTCTGTCCACTCGAGGCAGGGAGCTAGGGACCCCGGCTTTGACGCTGCTGAGCTGAGATGTTGAATTTTCCTGGGCAGAAAAAAATTCTTTAGATTCCCAGGACTGAGCTCAAGTGGCAACTCCTTGCAAGTATCTTGCAAGATTATACATAATGCAGGAAAGTAAAGTACAGTATGTCTCACTCACACTAAGTTATTTCACAACAGCCAAACGGCTAGTACAACTCCTATTTTACAAAACAGAAATCAGGGCTGGAGGTTTAGCTCAGCGGCACCAACTCTTGCTTGGCAAGTGCCAGGTCATGAGTTTGATCCCCAGTGCCCAAAAGAACCAGAAATCGGCCCCAGAAAAATGAAAATCATTTGCCTAAAGTGACCAACAGTAGAATGGAAGATCTTTAAAACTCTAAGACTGACTCACGGCTCAGCCTCTACCGCCAAAACAAGGGTGTGTGTCCAGGAAAGCACCAAGGGCATAAGGCTATTCAACAGTTGTCAGCTGAATCTAAATATCTTTCATTAAATGGTAGAGCCTCATCACACAGCTTAGGAATAGGAACCTTTTGGCCTTTGGAATTCTGTTGTATCCAGAACTCCAGGGCCAGCAGTGTCAATGTCTTCTCTCTGCAGAGTAAGAATCTCAGAGCAAGTAATCCTACATTTTTTACTAAGTCACCGAGCAGTTTTGTGAAATAAACTTGGATGATGGCACAGCACTGGTGGTTGCTTTATAAAAGCTGAGGAGTGGCAAAAATGTTTCAGTGAATGCAAAGAGGCTTAGAAGGCAGTCAGCCAGAAATCCAGTTTTGGAAAAGACAAATTTGGAAAAGGCAACTTGATATCTTCCAAAATGAAGTAATCATTTTGGAAGATACATTTATAGATAACTACTACTGTATGAAAGGCAACTGGATGGTGGAACAGAAGAACCACGACACAGTAGAGCTCCCAATAAGTAGACAAGGAGATGGTTTTTGGACAGATAGATTCAGCCCTCATGTAAAGAAAGCAGATTTCACACAGCTGAGAGAAATGCATCCAGATTCTAAGCGGGAAGGCCACAGGAGGGAAGCACAACTTCGAAATCAACATAAATAACTCCTAACACATACTCAGTACTTCATATGCACTGATTCACTTAATCCTTAAAATATCCCCGTGAGGATTCACTGTTCCTACACTTTAAAAGATGAGCAAACCAAGGCCAGCGAGGGTCAGCTCTTGTCAAAAGTCTCACGACTCGTCAGGGGAAGGGAGGATTCACAACAGCAGCATCTGGCTCTGAGGCCAGCCTCCTGACCAGCAGCAGTGGACTGAGAAGTCAGGAACTTTTCATCAGATAGTAAGTATTTTATGCTTTTTGGGTCACTTGGTCTCAACTACTCAACTTTACCCTTTTAGGGTAAAAAAGAGTCATAGTTAATATACAAACTAATAACTGTGATCTAGTAAAACTTTATGCATACTGAATTTAAATTTCATAACAGATAGATATAGATATAGATATGGATATCTTTATTTTTAAAGCAATTTTAGGTTCACAGTAAAATCAAGCAGAAGATGATGGGGAGTTCCCAGGTACTCCTGCCCCCACATACACAGCCTCCCCACCTACCCATTCCCAACTAGATCAGTGTGTGTGTGTAGATCCAGAGACACAGGCTGACACAAAGTCATCTGTACATCACTGCTCATCGATTCCTTACATGAATTTCCTATGATTTGTCATGTCGCTATGATTTGTATTTGATTTTTTTCAAAGTTTTAAAAATGTTTTAGCTCTTTGGGGTAAAAGCACAGCAGCTGGCTGCATTTAGCTGGATGACCTCAATTTGGCCATTAGCAATGAGCAGCTAGGAATGGCCAAACCAAGAATTCCACTTGCAAATGAAAAGTTCTACTGTGCCAGAAAAAGGTTTGTTTCCAAGTTTTTTCTCCTCATTCCCTTTTTAAAAGCCATCACATCTTAAGGGTTGGAAATTGTTGTTCAGTAAGGGTGGATCTGAACAAAGGAACCCCAGTTCTGAATGCAAGTCAGCTAGTGGGGTAGGACGGGGATTCAGCGCGTCTTCCTTTCTTGGGAAGCAATAGTTTTAGGGCTTTCCCATCAGGCTCTGGGGCCAGATGGGCTTAGAGACCCGGCTTTGGCAAATAAGCCTCAGAACCTCTCACCTTTACCTCCCTGCCTGTAAAACAAGAGCATAGGCTCCCTGTGCCAATGGGATGAAGTCACACAGGTGCAGTAAACATTTAGGGTGCCTCCAAATCAATCACGTACTCTAATGACCGAGAACATGTTTCTAGTGGCAAACTGCATTCTCATGAAGGATGAAATGCACTGTAACTCAGCTTTCCCAAGCATTTAGAATTAAAATTCAATCCACAATGTTTAATCCAAATAAAACAAAAGCGGCAGGTGACATTTCAGTACATGGTTTAATCTTACCGCAGAACACTACAATTTCCCTAGAAAGACTTCAATTATGACCTTTAAGCTTACTGTCACTTTAAGATCCGAAAGGTAACTCTGAAATCCTCTTCCCAAGTTATTGTTCCCTGTTTACACCTCTGTTATACTGATTCATCTAAGCATAAACAAATTGCAATGAAGCCCTATTAAACCAACTCCAAATCAGCTTTCAAACACCTCCAGTGTAATCAGATCTGCTTTGGAAATGTAAAGCTCTTTGGTCATGGCTGTTTAATGACTTAAGCTTTTTAGAAAAAGGAAGCAGCCACTGAAATCATTTCCTCACTGTTTTCATGGGTGCTAAAGACAGGAAGTGAAAGTTACTGATTAGGTGTTCAGTTATTGTTGACAGTGTCCAAAGGGTCAGACAAACAAACTGGGTGTGGTGGCATGTTCCTGTACTACCAGTACTCAGGAGGCAGAAGAATCCCCATAAATCTGAGGTCAGCATTGACTACACAGCCAGACTTTGTCTCAAAACAAAACAAAAAATGAAAATGAAAACAAAACAAAACCTCTGTCCTCCAATGTGCCTGTATTTGGGACTTGTTTCCAGGAAGCAAGGATTAAAGGGAACCCAGTGAAGAAGTTTTGGATGTATTAAATAAGCCTACTAAAATCACCAGAGGGAACTTCATTTCCCCACTAGGGAAAGTAAGGTCAAAGCAGGCTTTCTTTTTAAGCATTTGTGTTCCTATCCCTACTACTCTTTACTCATTGAGAAATCAAAGAAAAAAGTTTTTAACACTTTTACATAATCATGTAAAGGCAAATTTTCAAGATTTTCAAGAATTTCAAATTTTCAAGGCAAATTTTTCAAGATTTCAAGACACTCCAAGTCAAATATTTATAAAATCAAACAAACACAGTGAGTTTGCAAAAGGAATGTTAAATTGCAGGCATAACAGTTATGGATCAAAAGGTGGAGTTGACCTTCACTATTCAAAAGGAATTAGTTCCATGATTCTGCTTGGACACCAAAATCTGCAGGTGCCCAAGACTCTTATGTACAATGTGTGTAACTACCCGTGGTCTAACCCACCCTTCCACAAGTTTTCAACCATTGCATGGAATCCCTAAGGCGCCATAATAATAAGCTACATAGCTCCATTACATTGCTTAAAGAATAGTGACCAGGGACCCCCTGTCTATACATGTCGCTTACAAATGCAAGTTTTCTTCCAATTTTTTTGGTTATGAGTTGAGGCTGGTTGAATCTGTGAACGTGAAACCACCCCTAAGGAGGGCTGTTATCCTCTTCTGGCTCAATCTCCAAATGATACCAGTTAATGAATAATAAGTCTGGAGCAGAGAATTTGTGAAGTCTTATCTCAAGAACAGTCTTAACGACTAAAGGAGCTCATGCTGGATTTGAACCTTCTTTTCAGCATTTACTATTGGGTAACCTTGGGCAAACTACAAAAGCCTTCCCACCCCTAGTGTTCTGACCTGGAATTTGAAGCTAGTAGTGCCGATGTATCGTGTGGCTTGGGCAGGTTTAATTGAGAATGAGATGTATTTACGAATTAGCAGGTGTCTGCTTCCTACGCGTCCAACATGAGCTATTATTATTTGAATGTAACAAGGAAGATTTTCAGTCTTCAAAAAGACTGGACATGCCCAGAAACCATATTCCCTTGTCCGTCGGTGCCTTAATCTAAAGGGGTACAACTAAACTAATAGGTGTCAATGGTTGAGATCTGAGGATTGGGGGTGGTCTTCGCCAGAAAAACAAGAACAGCATATCTAGAGTTAAAATGTTTGCTTTGAAGGCCTTTATTGTTAAGTCTTGGTCTGAGTACTTTTTGGTTGGGGGGTATTTTTCGTTTGTTCTAGACAGGTTCTCACTATGTAGTTCAGGGTTAGACTGGTCTTGAATTCTATAGAGCCCAAGCTGGCCTCAATCCTCCTGCCTCAGCCTTCAAAGTGCTGGGGTTACAGGTGTGTGCGACCACGTTGGAACTTTTTTTGAAATTAAATTATTAGATGAAATATTAGCAACGCTTCTATAGGGCCAAATTTAAAGTCAAGAAGCCTATTCTGGGACCCCAAATTCATGAAAACCCCTAAGTTCAAAATTGACTCAAGCCCCTCTTGCCTCCGAATATAACGCTGGCCGGCTGGACCCACCAGGAGAAGGGAATCTGAGAGGCGCTCAGGAACTTTCACAGATGTGCAGTCGGGACCTGCCTACACCAGCGGCAGAGGCGGGGCTCAAGAAATCTTACCCGCCGATTGGTCTCGGAGCCTGGAGTTTCAGCCAATTCCAAGAGCGCTTGGAAGCGCTGGCCAATGGGCAAAGCGGAGCGAATGGGCTCCCGCGTTAGGGCTCCAGCAGGCGGAAGTCAAGTCACCGGCGGGGGCTGTGGCCGGGCGAGGACGCCGGGGGATTCCCCGCTCCGCAGCGGGGAGGGCGTCTGCCTCGAGCCGCCGGGGCTGGCCGGCCGGGACGGCGGCAGAGCTGGATCCGCTGGGCCCGGGCGCGGGCCGAGGGTGGTGGACTGAGGCCGTTTGTGAAGTCAGTTGGTTCGGCTGCCAGGGGCGCCCCTCACCCCGCAGCGCCCCGGCAGCAGCGGCCGCACCCGCCCTGCCCCAGGCCCTCACCGCCGAGCGCTCGGTGATTGTCACGCACTGCGACAGGTCCTTGGAGCTGGGTGTGGCTCACGCTCGTAACCCCGACAACGGGACGGGGGGGGGGGATGGGGCAGAGGCAGGAGCGTCTCAAAAAAAAAAATAAATAAAAAAAAAAAAATAAAACGATCTCACCTGGGAGAACTGCCCACTTGTGGAGAGCCTGTCTTACAGTAAAGAAGGACCAGGGATGGACGGAGAGCAGTCTGAAGGCCACGAGTTCAATCCCTACTCACACACACCGTAATCATTGGGAGCTTTTGCTTCCTAACAGACACAAAGTGAGGGCAGCTCCCGGGTTGGAGCAGGCCGGCATCCCAGATTCTAAGCAGTGTCCTGAGAGTGCTCCCCAGATCTTCCTGGCAGCATCTCACGGCCTCACCCTCCCAGGACCAGTTCGTTAACTCGTGGAACAAAACCAAGCCCTCTGAACCACCTTCTAAGGTAAAACAGAAACCCAGCGGCCCGGCCAAGTGAAGATGGGATGCACACTGTTCATAAGCATCTGAATCGTGGACTGCTTTTCCCACCTCACAGCACTTGATGCAGAGGGGGCACCTGTGCCGTGCCTGACTGGGACTTGGAAGGAGACTGTAGGGCTGGAGGTCACAGGCTGCAAAACCACAGAGGAGGCCACCTAGCTCTGAGGTGACCTGGAACTGGGCTTCATTTGTGACAGCAAGATAAGAGAGGGAGTGAAATGATGACAAAAAAAAGACTAAGGAACTCAAAGTTTCTCAGCTCAAACCCAAGGCCATCTCTTGAAAAGGCAGTGGAGTATCCGGTGGAAATCTGTGCAGTTAGAAATCCAGATTAAAGTCCGGATGGCACTAGAGACAGTGATGGCCGTTTTTCAGGACAGAATAGGATGCAACCCAGAGCCGTTGGAGCATTCTGGGATAGTAAAGGGGTTCCTACTTAGGGAGGAGGAAGCTCATGGTCCTTATAATTAAGCCGTCAGGGTGTCAGGTCAGAGACAAACAAATGGGACACAAGAGTGCTTGAGAACATGAAGGCATATTAATTTTAATATCAGCAAAGGAGTACAGCAGAACTTCACTGCTGACTCTGCCCCTCAGAGCCCACTGTCACAGGCTTCCGGGCTGTTCTGTAAGTAAAGTTTTAAGAAATTCTTATAATGCTTCACATCCATTAGGAGGGCTTTAACTGCGGGGTCTGTCTTCATGGCTGCCATCCAGAGCTTGAGTTTTGGAGTTGCAGCTGCCCACCTGTGGGAGGAAGAAACAAAGAGGTAAGAGACTCCCATAAAGCATTGTTATCATCTATAGATCTTGTTTTTCCCTAACCTTTAAAAATATTTATTTTGCAGGACATGGTGGCACACGCCTGCAATCCCAGCTCTCGAGGGGAGGCTGAGGCAGGAGGATCACCATGAGTCTGAAGCCAGCCTAGGCTACAGTGAGTCCAAGGCCATGCTGAACTACATAGTGAAACTCTGTCTCAAAAAAAAAAAAATAATAATAATCATAAAATTTTCTTTAAAAGCATCTTTAAAATGTATATAACCATATATATTGGATTTGAAAGGTATCAAAGATCTTTGTTTTACATGTGGTGAATCTGAAATGAATGTGAAATGACTTGCTCAGTAAGTGTGAAAACTTGTCCAAGCTGACAAACTCATAACTTTTTAAAGAGAACTTAAAAAATCCAAAAAATATTACTCAATCTGTCACCAGGTTAGATCTAAAAATAACCCTGAATAGCCCTAACCTGTAAAAAAAAAAAAAGGGAGTAAATCAAGGGAGCTGGCTGCCAAACCCAAAACAGCATCCAGAAAATGAAATCTTGCTAAGCGGAAGGTAACCCTAGTCATAGCCTCCTGCAACAGCATCCTCATGAAGATGTGCATCCTTGTGCAATAGAAACCCCCACCCCTTCCCACAGAAGCTGGAGTAGTGAATGTAGGTCTGTGACCCAGGACACTCCTGCTTGTTCTCGTTCAGGTGTATTAGGTATTTTAACTTTGGTTCAGAAAAAATGTTCAACAGAATATTTTTGCAACTATCATCCTACAAACACAAAATACTCAAATGCCTTACTCAGTTAGCTCCTGTAATTCCATCCGTTCAAACCAGGGCCAGATGAGGTAATCAACCAGACCAATAGAATTGCCACCAAAGAAGGTCGTCTTCTTCTTAGTCAGAACCTGAACATCAAACACAATAACAGTACCCAGTAAGTGCCCGGTAAGAATCACCACCAGAAAGATGAAGACAAGTTTAGTAGAGCAGGTTTATCCCAACATCCCAGATGAGCTTTTTTCTGTCTGATCAGAAAATTCAAGGAGGCAGGAGGTATAGCTCAGCGAGCACAGGACTTGCCTAGGGTCCTCACGGCCCTGGGTTCAATCTGTATTCAGACTATAAAAAGAACTGGCAAATCAATAAAAATAGCAAACAACTCATCAGATAAAATGAACAATACTTGTTCTTCACAAGAGAGGATGCCCAAGTGGCCAATAGTTTTTTTTTTTTTCTCAATAATTGTTTTAAAACGTGTTCAACTGTATTAACCACCAGGAAATGCAAATTTAAGCCAAAGTGCTATCCAACAGAATGGTTGAAGTGAACAAGACAAAGTTAGGAAGGGTGTGCAATGGCTGCAGGTAGAAATGTAAATTGCTACAACTGTGTTTTAACCGTAAACATATCTTTTATCCAGAAATTCTGCTTGGTAACATAGGCCGCCAAGAAGTATTACAGAAACGTGCATGTTTGTAATAGCACAAAGGTAAAAATGTTTGCCCTTTAATATCTGTAGCTTTTCAGCTAACATTATGTAGATTAGCTGTCATATCTACCTGTCTTCTGCCTACTGTTAAGCTCTCATTGTCTAAAGAATAGATGTGCTTCTACATGGTCAAGCAAAAAAGGATAAATTTCCAAAACATTCAAAAGAAGAAATGTAAAACCCCCAAATCAATCACCATGAAAGAAATTGAAATGGTAATGAAAAATCTACTCTTGCAAGAGACACCAAGCTCAGATGCTTTAGGGAAATAGCCCATCCTTCTCAAATGGTTTCAGACATTAGGAAAATAAGGGAAGTTACCCAACTTACTTTAAGAAGTTAGAATTGATACCAAACCAATAAACAATAACTACAGAACAATAAAGTTGGACCAATTCCACTTCTGAACACATATGCACAAATTGTTTTTACTGTCAACTGGTTCTAGTACATATATGAAAGCCCACTGAAAACAAGTAGGTCTTATCCGAGTAATACACCAGAGAGTTCAACACCAGAAGAATCTGTCGTACTGTCATAGTGACCAGATAAATGGGGAAAAAACCTGCAACCGTTTCAGTGGACATAATACCCAAAACATTCAATATTAATTCATGATTTTGAAAAAGTAAAGTAATAACAGAAACTTAGTAGAAAAAAGCGGGGGGGGGGGATGTTCAGGAAAAGCCTGCAGTAAACTTGGTGCTTATAAAATGTCAGGATCCATTCCGTAAAAATCAGCAACTGGGTCTTCCCTCAGGAAAGCTTCAGGCTGAGTGCAGATGGAACAGCTCAGGGCCAAGAGAAAGGCTCTGACTCGGGCCTCAAATGACAGCTGTCCCCAAAAAGAACACGCTGGGCCTGCTCAAAGCTCTGTGATGTGTGGCAAACTTTCTGTGCTGGAAAATATAATATTAACTGGGAAAAAGAACACAGAAGAACACACATGCGATGATTCCAGTTTTTCCTTTAAAGACAGGGAGTGATGAAGATGAAACAAGGTTAGAAGAGATGGAAGTAAGTGACAAATTATGGAAATGTGGGTAATACATTTCTTTTTCCCTTGTCATTTTAATATCAGTGCAACCAAATATTTAAAAATAAGCCATAACACAGTTATGGTACCAAGCACCCATTTTTTGGTGCTAAATTTTGGTGTTTTGGTTTATATTGAAAGCAGAACAACTTATAGCAATCTGTTAGATTTTTTTTCCTTTGCAATACTGAGGACTGAACCCAAGGGCGTTCACACTGAGCTATATCACCAGTCTTTTATTTTTGGTTGGAGACAGGGTCTCACTAAGTGGCCAGATCACCCAAGCTGGGCTTAATCTTGAGACCCTCCACCTTGGCTCATCAGAGGATTGCAGTTACAAGTGTGAAGTACTACATCCAGCAGAAATTCATTTTTATCAGGTATTATTCCTAATTACCATAAAAGTAACTTGAGAAATGGGAGAATGAAAAACAACTGAAAGGAAAAGAAGGGCAAACACAGGGTGGATTATAATACTATAAAAGCTGGGAGAAATGATTACCTCATCTAACACTTTCAGTTCTTTCTTTAATTCTTCTTTTGCACCAGAGCAGTCTTCTTTAGCTTGCTGTAGTCTAAAAATGCTCGTTGTCAAAGACGACACCTGCACAAAATTTTAGCTCATCACTGTGGGGCCCACTGCCTTGGCTTCCTCAGCTCAGAACCCACACGGGCAGGGGCACCAAGTCCCTGTGTCCCACAAGGGCTTATATTACAAACTGTCCTGTAGACAAAGATGTGTTGGTTAGGATTTCATAAGTTACAAAGAATAAGTCCCACTTTAGTGAATCTGAGTACACACTTCTCCTTAAAAGACAGAGTGGGCTGGGAATGTAGCTCAGAGATACTGCGCCTTCCCGGCAAGTATGGGGTCCCGAGTTTGATTTCCAGTACCAAAAAACAATAGTGGCTCTCAGAATTGTTGGAAGACTGAACCAACCTGCTGGAACTCAGAACGCTGCAAAACCAGGTCAGAAGTGGCCTAATGCGACCTGCCCATTGCTCCAGTACAGCGGGCACTCGTCCCAGTTTGTCATTTTGTAGGAAGCAGATGCTGGCAACTGCTAGCAACACCAGTCATGCCGCTGCTGCTGCTCTGGGATTCAGTCTCACAGCTGCCAATGCACCTGCCACCACACTTAACAACAGCACCAGTGACACACACAGCTCACATCTTGGCCAATGCTACCACCTGTGCGCCTGATAGGCAGAGCTTTGACCCCAGGTCTGGCCCCAGATTTGGAAAAGGAGCAGAGCGAGAGAATTTCTCTGAGGTCTACTTTGGGAGGAACACACAGATGACTCCAAGGGGCTGGAGACCTGAGAGATACTTCCGTGTTTGTGGCAGAGGCATCTGTGTTTAACAGAAGCCTTCGAGATGACCTCACTGTCAGGAGTCCATTCATCCCAACTTCCATAAACATGAACCTGAGAAAGTCATGAAACCCCATCACGGTCCTCATAGAAGCTGAAGAGCCGGCGGGCAGCCCTTCTGCCGACAGTTCCATTCTGACTGCCTAGTCCTCCATCCCTGCTTTTCCTTAGGTACAAGCAGCGGTGGTCAAAAAAATTCACTCTTAAAAATGGGTAAGTGTGTTCAAAGCGAGGGAGAATATTCTGGGAGCCTGAGGGATTAATGGCGATGTCTTTTACTGTAATCCATGTTATAAAATGTCAAATGAACACTGTATTTTTATCATACCCTGTATCTGCACCATAATATTTTCTATATATCAGTTCCCTTTCCAGTGTTCTTAATTTCTGCTTCCCCTAAAAATGTATTTTTAATGTGGCTCGGACATTTCAGTCTCCAATAATTACATATATCTTCAAAGCATTTTTACTGTCTTAGACTCAGTGTTTCATTTCTAAATTCCCAGAAGAAATGGTGACGGCCAGCTGTGGCAGGGGAGGGTGGGGTACACTTCTGGTCCAATCAGCTATTGCCTGGACAGTGGGATCATGTGGTACACACCCCCTCTTTTCCCCTGAAAAGGAATGGAGAGATCAGTGGGCACCTCCAGCTTTACCTGTCATACTTATTTCCTTTCTCCAGTACAGTGAATCTAACTTCTAAACTCACCAGAGTTTCCTGTAAATATTACAGGCTATTCCCATCAACCTTGACCACAGCCTCTCTAGATATTCTTGCGCTGTCCTAGTGAATGTGATGACTCCTGAAGCCTTCCTCAACCCTTGGGAGGATCTCCTCAAACAACAGCCCCCTATAAGTCCCCCCTCTTCTAGGTGTTTTTTAAAATCATTTTTCTATAGAAAAATATTCCTCTATGCACTGAGTATACTAACCAAGGTAACAGTTTTATTGGGACATAATAGGACATTGCGGTTTTGGTGTCTAAACATAAATCTGTTTGTCCCTTCTGTGGTGCTGCCACTAGCTGAACTAATCTGCGGAGATGCTAATTAAGATGCAAAGGCTTGTCCAGAAAAGCTGTTATTTAGCCAGAGGAGAGCTATGATGAACTCTACACTCAATGCTAGACTTTGGCTGTACAACAAAAGCTAACACTGAATAAGGACCACATGTCAGACTGCTGTGGGTGTTTCACATCAACTGATGTTTACCCTCTAAGAACACTTATTATACTTATTTATACATGATCATTGAAAGCACTGGGGGATAAAGTAAGAAGTAACTTTCTCCAAGGACACAACAGGAAAGTGGCTGACCAGGCCCCAAGCATAGGCAGTAAACCAACAGTGATCAACAGAGCCCTCACCTAGGGGAGAGCAAACAGGAGGATTAGAGCCTCACTGGCCTCTTCTGTGAAAGGCAGTGTGTGTGCTGCAGGGAAAGGTAAACAGAGCTGAGATGCTCTTGTTTGCCCTGAGCACCACGGGTGGAGGGAGTCAGATGTATCTCGCATTGCTAGTTACCATGTCTGAGTGAATAAAGTCCAAGGGGGACCAGACCCCTGGTCCCCACATTGTAACCCATTCTGTGTCTCTGTTTCATCTTCATCTCCCCTTGGTCAGGTACAAGCTCATAGGCTAGACCTGCACACTCATCTTCGTAGAGCTCACCTTCCCTGTGCAGCACACGCAGAGCAGCAGGCCGAGCCTTGCCGAGGGTGATTAGGAAATGGTGGCTGTTGGAACACAGGGTGAGTGCCCTGACCAGTCCAGGCAAGCTTCTGGAAGGCAGTGGTGTCCCAAGTAGAGAACAGGGAGGCGAAGCAGCCAGAGAGAAGAGGGAAGACTGCAGCAGAGCTGAGACAGTATCGAACTCAGGAACACAGCTGGATTACAGGCTCAGGGCAAAAGAGAGGACTGGCTTTGGAGAAGTACCCAGGGGTTAAATCACGGAAGGACTTCCAAGGACATGTCGAGCTGACAAGAGGATTTTCCTCTTTGGCTTTTCTCTCTTAAATGGCTGATCCATAAACAGTAGCACTGATTTAGCTTTTAAAGAAAAAAGGAGCTGAAACTTCCTAACTGCATACCTTAGAAAATAGCTCAAAGATCATCTTTTGGCACGCTTTCTCATAAGGGTCAGCTGGCAGCAGCTTCTTCCCAGGATACGCTTCATCCAGGTACTCACACGTGATGACAGATTCCCGAATCAGCTGACCCTGGCTGTTCTCTAGCACCGGGACCAGGCCAAAGGGATTCTTTTCAAAGAACCAGTCGGGTTTACTTTTCAGGTTGATATTGATGACTTCGTGCCTGGAAGACACACGTAAGGTTATCAAGAAAGCAAAACATTTCTTTCTACTTCTTCTTTCTATCCTAACTGCTCCTGCCATCCATGTCACTGTCCGTTCGATCCAGTTTAGAAGTCAGTGTTGCCATGACACCGCTGTACTTGTTTTAAGAGGTAAACTGTTACCAATGCCTCCTGTAAGTGGAACCATGCAATATTTGCCTTTCTGCATCTCAATCCATTTAGAAAAATATCCTCAAGATCTATTCCAGTCGCCACAGACTGCAGAATGTCCTTCTTTGTAAAGGGGCCCAGTGTATACACATTATTTCTTTACCCATTTATCTGCTGATACACACTGGCATTGCCTTTGGGAATAACACTGCAGTGAACAGGGGAATGCAAACATTAGCATCTCGTTGGATGCTGATGTGAGGCAACTTCTTGAGCTGTATCTACTGCCCACAATGGGAGTCAACATGTTAAAATTCTTTTTATTCTGATTCAGTTCAAAATGAATGGATTCAATTGAATTCATCTGGCTCGTATCAATAAAACATTCCTTGCTTTTTATGAGGCTATCAAAGAATACTAAACATCCATTCCCAACATGAACTTTCAGATTGCACCTTCATGTGTCAGCGCTTTTAAGAATGTTGCATGTTTTTAGAGATCATTCAAAGTAAAGCTGGGTGTGGCAGTGCACACCTTAATCCCGGTACTCAGGAAGCAGGAGGAATGCTGAAAGTTCAAGGCCAGCCTGAACTATATAGTGAGATGCTGTCTCAACACATAAACCAATCACAAAGTGAACCAACACAAGCAGAAAACAGGTGAGATCACACTATATTCAGGTTGTAACAAGACCTACCTTGTATTTTGCCTGAGAGATTAGAGAAAGTACCCAATAATTGTTAATTCTCAAAACTTAATCAGTGCCCAACAAAATGGGCTACTCAAAAGTAATGCACACAAAACCTTTTGATGCCTATTTTTCCATGCATAGCAGTAGCTAAAAGAACATTTCATCTCAGGATTTAAGTATGTAATCCCAGCACTCAGGAGGCTGAAGCAGGAAGGTCACCATGAGTTCTAGGCCATCCTGGGCTACATACTAAGCTCAAAGCCAACCTGAACTACATAGCAAGACCCTGTCCTAAAAAAGTAAAAAAAAATAAAATAAAATAAAACTAGTATGTAATCTTCCATGGAACAAAGGAACGGTCAGTTTGAACTCTAGCATGTGTTTGTGTGCATATATTAAGAAGCGCATGTGCTGACACTACTGGGCATACTCTCATACAGCTGTTACAAAAAAAACATGTCTCCCTGCCAAAGAATAATCTATATTTCTGAAACTTTGCACTGTGAAAACAAAAGGTGGATCTTGGCTGTCCATGATCGTGCATTTTGGTTGGTGTTTTGAGCTGAGTCAACCTGGGCCAAGGACCTGGAAGATATGTGTATCGGTACATCGTGAAAAACTCCAGCACTTGCCTGGCAAGTGTTCCTGAAGCAGTCCAGCTGACCTCTGCTGTGTGCACCATCAGGAAGGGATGACCTACCTCCCTGGCTTCTCTCCTTGCCATTTAGGTAAAACACTTTCACATTTCGGTTACAAACCTGTCCCAAGAAGCCAGGTAACTGTCTCCACCCTACATTTCCAGAGGGAATCACAGGACCCTGTACTTTGTACCTTTAAACCCAGCTGTGTTGGCTTTTGGGCTTTCCTATTACATGAGGGCAAGGTAAGTTTGTTTGTTTGTTTAATGCAGCTTGACTTTCACTTGCAATGAGTTCTAAGTCAGCAAATATTAGTGTCTTAAACGTTACTAAGGAATTCTTTTGCTGTGTGCTCAAGATCATGATTTCATTAGTGAACTGATAGCTGGTCAAAAAACGTTCTTTTAAGGTTCCGGCGATTGAACTCACAGCTCTGTGCTCACAAGGCAGGCTATTATGCCGCTGAGCTAAATCCCTAGCCCTCATTTTTCTTTCTTTAGGATGCATCTTACATTTCTTTGAGGGAGAAGAAACCGATTCTCCCCTAAGAAGACTAAAATTAGTTTACACACTCTAAGCACAAATGGAAAATGTAAAAACGGGCTGTGTTTCAACCTACAGCAAAGCCTTCTACAACACCGGCGTCTCATGAATATCTATGCTCAGGGTTCCCCCGGTTCCTGGAGGAAAGAGGTTCCAGTCAACTCGGACCTCTGGGAAAGCCCAGTGACGCGCCTAACCCTCAGGTCGGCAGCCACTAGTTTCAATGAGGCTGCCCAAAAGGAAGACACCACTGTTATTTAACTAAAGCAGCAACGCAACGCATGGAACCGTTCCCAGGACAAGTCACTCCGCTTTCTACTAGCAAGTCCAGGTAGGAACTCCGAGGGCCATGCTCTCCAATAACACCCAGACAAGAATGGAGAAGCAAAAGCGAAAATGAAAAACCCTGGACCAGGAATCGCGGTCTCCCCGGGGCTAAGACAGCTGCTGCCGCCCACCACAGTGATCTTTCCCAGAATCGATCGTAGGCAGACCGTGGAGGGTACTGCTCCCTGGCCCCTCCGCTCCGCAAGACTGATCCAAACCACATAACGCGGAGAGGCTCTGCAATTCGCTGTGTCTCTTACAAAAGGCAGAGAATAGTTCGCCTTTCAAACGTTAAGCTATAAGCCTGAAGCCCTCTCCAGGCCGCCGCAGCCCCGCGCTCACCGGATCCCCTTGGCGTTCAAGACCAGCAGCGTCCTCTGGGCGAACGGGCAGAAGCGCATACTGTAGACGCGCAACACTCCATCCGGAACTGGGCCCGGGGGCGCACTGCCTGCAGGACGGGGGGAGACAGAGTCACGGCCGAGGCCCGAACCCCCTTCCCCGTACTCTATCCGCCCAAGAGATCCCCGTCCCGCGCCCCGCGTCCCGCACCTTGGGAGAGGCTCTTGGCCGACATCGTCCCCCGGCACACCCAGCTCCGCGCACCAGAGGCGCTGCAGGAAGTCGTGGCCGAACCCTGTCCTCTTTATCTCCCTCCAGAACAGCTTTGGGGGCGTGAGGGCGACGCCGACTCCGCCCGCTCCCGTCCCCACCCCGCAGTCCGCGGTAGCCCATAATTAAAGGGAACGAGCGCTACTTCGCGAGAGCCCAGAGCCCGCCTTCCGCCCTCCGCCAAGAGGAGGAGCCCAGCGCCTGGCCGTGGAGCCCCCACCGGCAGGCGCGCCCCGTGCAGAGCGGGCCTCCTGGCTTTGTGTACTGTCCCTTCGCGGCTCTGTGCCGGCCAAGAGCGTGGCCACGGGAGTGTGGCCAGGCTGTCTTCGCCTGTGCCTGAGACCCTACCCCTGCCCTCCCGCCTCCCACACCAGGCTGCCCCAGCCGGGAAGCATGCCCGGACCTCTTGACTGGCCTCTCCACTGGCAGGACCCCTCTTCCTGTGTCCCAGAACTTCTAGCCTCCAGGGCCTGCTGCCAGGGCGCACACTCCACTCCAGAACACTCTCCGCCGAGGAGGCGCCTATTGGCTAGCTGGCTGGTCGCTGGCTGGAAGCCGCCTGGACCGCCTTTCTCTTTTCCTGCCTGACTAGCTTACTGACTGCAGTAAAGCCGCTGCTGTTAACCCAGAGAAAGGGTGTAAACCTGAATGTTATTGGTCTCAGAATAGTAGGGCTGCTTCCAAAAATTTGGGTTTTGAAGCCCTAAGAAGGGTACAGTAAGTTTACAATTAAGCAGGCGGCTGGGGAAAAGGTTCGGCCAGACCTTGGGTGTGTTCACAGTCTCCTTTAATTTAAGGTTAGGAAAAAGTGGTTTGGGGGCACTATAACACGCATAAGAAAACTACCAATGATTCGCATGTGTTAGATTTGAAAGCTGAATTTAGGATTCGGTTGTCTTTTTTTTGACCGGCAGACACTGGAGTGATCCAGCTTTCGTTTTCAGAGTACCTCTGCTGTTTTAATCCTGTGTCCATTCCGGTGTTAGTTTTTCCCGGACTAGGGTAACCAAGAACCAGAGTGGCTTGATTAACAGAAAGGTGTCTGGCAGTTCTAGAGGTTCTGAGAGTCGGGGTGGAGGGCTTCCTTCTGAGGACTAGGAGGGGGAATTTCTCCTTTCCTAATTTCTGGGGCTCTCAGCCCATCTTGGGGGTCCCATGGGAGGAGAAGCATCTCCTGTTTGCTGCACTTGTCTGCACATGGCATCTTCCTGGGGCTCAAGTCCACCTGAATTTCTCCTTATCAGGATGCCAGCCAGGCTGTCCGGATCTCATCTTAATTTAGCTAACTGCATGGGTGACAACTGGGTTTTCAAATAAGAACTCATTTGGAGGCGCAAGGAATTAAGATACTGATCTATGATGTTGGGGGGGGGCAGTGTAACCTATAACACCTGCTAATTGGCCATGTGAAAATAGAGAAGTCACTAACCTGAGTTTCAGTTCGGTCATTTGTACAATGGAATGATGAACATGTAAGACCTCTGTCTTAGAATCTGAGAAAGGATTAAATTAGTTTATATATAGATAACACTTAAAATGTTAATTGGTGTGAATGTGTTAAATGCTCGTATTACATAGTTCCATTTGTCTATAGTTAAATAGACAAAAACTGAGTAGTAAATGAAAAAAAAATGATCTTTTTTTGGCCTGGCTTAATTTTGTCAGGAAACAAACTTTTTAGAAGAATTTTTAAATGCATTAATGATTTTGTACAAATAAATCTGAAAATTTAAACTAGGATAGCAAATCTTGAATAGGCCAAACTAGGGAATTGGTTCATTTCACTGTGCTGAGTCATCTAGGCGCTCAGAGGGCACTGTAGCCATGGTCAAGGGGCCCTGGCTCTTGCTTCTCCTGACAGCACACCTTGGCATTTTCCATGTGATGCTGGTTTACTGTCATGCAGAATCTATGCATGACATGCATAGATTGTTGCATCAGGAAGGCTTTTAGCCATACTTCAGAGGAAGGCCTTGGAAGTCAGGGGAATAAAGTTGAAGGTGCCATGGAAAGCCTAAGAAACCAGGGATGCCAGGAAAGTGGAACATCAGCTAAGGAAAGCTGCAGGACAAAGTGGAGCCCAACCTCTCTGCAATGGGCAAGGCCACAGGAACAGGGTTGTGCAAGCCCCTGAAACTCACATTTTACCCCTTGCACCTTGGATGCTGGATGTAGACCTGTAGGATTTATTGTTTGTATTGTTGACCTTTGCTCTTGCTTTAGTCAAGTTTTTTCTGTATTCTTATTACTCCCTTTGGACTCAAAATGTTAACTATGTGTCATTTTACCTGGGAATTATGTATTTATTTTTATTTTTACAAGTTGAAACAACACTTTCTGTCACCTTTTTATGCTCACATGACAATAAGATAAAAGTATATTTCTAAATAAGCTGAAGAGTTCTTTTTCTGATAAGAAATCCGAGTTTAAGAAAGTTCTTTTAAAAAGGACAGTGTAAAAATTCTAGGGTTCTGCTGCAATGCAATTGTAGATTAGTTCCTCCTCATCATTTTATCCAGATTTGATGAAATACAGTATATCTCATGTTTTCCTCACAGTCAGTCCTCTTAAAGCCCTGACTTTTTTGTTTTAGGGAAAAAATAATTTATTCAGTGATCAAAAACAACACACACACTCCTAAAACGGTATTCTTTTTTTTTGAGCCAGGGTCACACTGTGTGGTCCACAAAGAATCTGACCAGAGGCTAGAAACTATGCACAAACACAATATGCCTTGAAAGGGAAGGAAACCACCCTGGAGAGGTGACTTTCCCCTTAACACAGCCAAAGGGGGAATCTACTGAGCATGGACTAGAAACGATGTCCAATATGCTAGCTGATCTTATTACGGGAATGAAAAAGTACATTAAAAATCTGCTAATTATGGTAAAGTGAGTGGGGTCTTACAGAGTGCAGAGGAAAATCCAGCTTTGATCTATAACTGAATTGCAGAGGCCTTCCTCAGGTATACTAATATCCATCCCTCCTGCAGAGAGGCAGAGACAACTAACGCAATATCACTGCATCTGTCAGTCAGCCCCAGATTTTCTATGCAAGCTACAAAAACTTCCGATGGGGACACAGGCACCGATGGCCCAATTACTGGACATGACATTTTCTGTGTTCAAAAATCAGGATCCAGAGAAGAGACAAAAGAGAAACGCTAGGATATAGCTGTTGCAATACTTTAAACTCAACCAAGTCATCTAAGAAAAAACCCAGGGACGACCAAGGAAAGGGCTCTTGTTTCAAGTGCAACAGAACTGGCCACTGGGTATGAGTGCCCCAAGCCTGGGCCTTGCTCTGCACGTTAGACAGCTAATGTGCCGGGTTCGTAGCCCTAGAGGTTTGGCCATCCCTGCTCTCGGAGAGGGGCTGGCTCAGCCAGAACCTTCATTTGCTGTTCTGATGACAAAAGAGGCCCAAGGTAGCTCCCAGTGCCTGTCAACAGATATCACCATCTCCTCTGAGGTGCCCTGGGTAAGCACGGACATTACTGGGGAGCCAGGTGGGCTGCTTATTGATACAGGGCTGCTCATTCTGTTTTCTCTTCCATCTCTGGAAAACTTTCCTCCAGGTCCATAGCCATAGCTGCAGAGATTCTTTACTCCTCTGACATGTCATTTTGAAGCCAAATGCTTAACCATGAATTCTAATTGTCTCACAGTGTCTTGTTCCCTAGCTTGGAAGAGAGTTATTAGTAAAATAGGGGGCAATTCTCAAATTCCAGCTAAGACCAAAATGGATTTTACTTGTTGGGATTACACCAGGTCTCCCTGATCAAATTAGCTAATGAGCGGGGCCTGCTGCGTGGTAGTAGATAGAACCGAGTGCCTGGCAGGACAAATTCTGCTGTGCCAGTAGTCGTAAGATTAAAAGACCCTCACTGGTTTCCTGACTGAACACAGTGTCCAATCAAGAAAGAGGTAGGTAAAGGCCTCCAGCTTCTCATGGACAAAGTTTTAAAATACGGCCTCTGGAGCCCTCGCCAGTCCCCTCATAATACCCCCACCCTCCCTGTGGCAAAGCCCTTGGGAGAACAGCAAGTGGTACAAGAGCCCCTCATTATGGAGGCTGCCATTCCAGTCCATCCTCTGGAGGCAGACCTATACAATTTTCCCCCAAGTTCCTGGAGCACTAATTGGTCCTGGTCTTAGATTTAAAAGATACATTTTTCTTCTTCCTGCTACATCTAGACTCCCGATTTTTGTTGCCTTTAAATGAGAAAACCCCATTTCTAGAGAAAGGCAGCAATATACTCGGACAGTTCTCCCACAGGGGCTTAGAGCCAGGCGTCACTTGAGGCTCCAGGAACTTAAAATACAAAATAACCAGTTCTCCTTAAAATCCTAGAGTCTTTTAAACTCTACATGCTGGAGAAAGGAGTTAGAAAGCCTGGGTTCTATTTGGTCATTTTAAATTCACAAAGCCACTAAATAATCAAGCACAGCTCACTCTCCATTATCCATACCAAGGTCTGTGCAGAGGGCTGTGCAGAAATCCATTCCAGATTCCCCGCCTGGAGAAACCAGAAGTTTTTTTTTCTTTTGATTTCCAATAAAAAGTCTCCTAACTTCTTCCTTTGGATTCACAACGTCATTCGTTGATCTTGTGAGCTCACGAGCTTGGTTTGTATAGAATTAACTATTTCATATTCATGGATTAATTCATATTGCTTCTTGCATAATTATGATTTTCCAAAAAAAAATCAAATGACTATTTTCTTGCCACTCTTAATTCTGATTTTGGATTCCAAGGACCTTCATGAATTAGTATGATCTTGGCTATAGTTGTACATAGAGGCTGAGGAGTGGTTTGCAACAGAACAAATTTAATTATTCCTACATTTATAAATGTGTACAAGTCTAGATGTAACAGGTATGAATCCTGACACCAGTTCTGTCTTTTGACAACTAGATTGGTATCAAACATCTGAATTACAAATATTTTGCTTATATAAAATATTCAGTAAGATGTATGTAAAATAAATATTTAGACCTTAAACAATTTAGACTTGAATTCTCTATTTTTTTGGTTTGTTCTTTTTGTGACAGGTTCTCACTATGTAGTTCAGACTAGCCTTGAACTCACTATGTAGGCCAGGCTGGCATGGAACTAGAGCAATCCTGCCTCAGCCT